AATCTCCGGCCATGCCCGAACTTTTTGGGATCATGGTATTCGGTTGCTGAAGGTGCCACATGGACCCTATCAACACTTTTGTTTCTGTAGAATTCCAGCCAGATGTAAACCTTCATCTAAAGTCCTCGAACGGCAAGCTACCACGTGACCCGCGTTTAGGGCGTCTAAGCTTTGCCGCCAACATCAGCAGTAACGAAGGCACGACAACTCGTGGACTGCGCAGAGAAAGGATACTTCAAAGATGTCTGCTCCGCCACCGTCATCGTCGGCGAGGCCTGAATCCAAGTCCTTATCCATCTCACTCTCCTCCAAAAAGCCCACCACGCAGCGACCAGGCTCGTCCATCGCGCTTCCACGGCGCCCCCCTTCTCAATCCAGCACGCCCCGTCCGCGTTTTCTCGACCATGACTCCGATGCTTCAGACGCGGAGAACACCGAAGCTAAAGCAGAAGAAGTCACGGGGTTTGATCAATCCGCGGGTGGCGCGATAAGCAGACATGCGCGCGAGAAAGAGAAGCAGCCGTTGGTGATCAAGGTTGATAAGAAGAACGGGTGGCGGGAAAGGTTGCTGAGTTCGACAAGGGCGAGAGGGAGGAGCTGGCTACCCGAGGAAGTGAGAGCGCAAAGGGAGGCGGAGGCGCGGGGTGGGGCGGAGGATGCGGCGGTCGAGGTAGAAACGCCCAGTACGAAATTTGGCTTGAGTTTTGCGCCGGAGTCCAGGACGGGGGATGGCGATGAGGAGTCACTTACGGTGGCTACGGGATATACAGGAAGAAGCTTTCCTGGAGATTGATACGGAGAAGGAAGAAGAAGGACATGTCTCAGGACGAAGTGGCGCTGCGTGCCTTGATCAACGAAAGCAAGGCGAGGACGGAACCGGAAATCCGATTCTGGTCATTCAATCGAAAGCGGACCTGATGATGTACCCCCGCGTATGATGAAACAAAATCCTCACGAAGATGTAGCTCACCGCCCCGAATCGCGAGTTTAGCCAGCTACGCTGCGTCCCGTCGAGCAATTCGCGCGACCTACTCGTGCATGAGCTAGAAAGGAAGGACAGCCCGTTGGGCGTAGAGATATAGCAGCGCGCCGTCTGCTCGAGGAGATGCAAATATAGGCCCGCGTATCCCCGAGCGCAGGCCGAGGTACTTGAGAAATTGAGGCCAAAGATCTATCCCGGCAAGGCTGGCGCCGCAGAGCTTGAGCTCGGCGCATGGGGAAAAGCAGCGATGCGGAAGGGTAAACCGGGCGAGGGACTCTATACTCCCGTCCTGATGAAAAGCAAGAAGACCAGCGAAATGATTACGGAAGAGGAATTCAAAAAATTAGCCAAGGAGCAGGAAAAGGACAAGGATAAGAAAGAGAAAGAGGATGAATGGAAAGAAAGGCGGGATCGAAATCTGGGGAGAAGCGGGAGACGATATGAAGAGGATGATGACTACAGGCGTTCGAGAGAATCCTCGTCCCGAAGGAATGAGCGCGATCGATCCAGGTCCTCGTCGGCAGACAGGGATCGAGATAAAGCTCGAGACAGCAGGCGGAGGAGACGGTATGATGATTATGATGAACGAGATTCACACGACTATGACAGCGAAAAGACGAAGAAGGATGATCGACGCTACCGAGAGCGCGACTACAGACGTGATCGGGAAGAGCATGCGCGCAGGGACAGGGACCGCGATCGTGGTAGAGATAACCATAGTGGCACGGAGAAGAGCAAATACAAAGAAAGGGAAGAACGAGAAAGGGCCCGGGAAAAGGACAGGCGAAGGGATTATCGATAATGTTTTTTGGTCATGGCATGCGGTGCATAAGGGGTCTAATTTCACGGGCGATTTAGTTTCTGAAGCTCATACTGCTTCTGGGCGTTGGGTCATGGATTTTATATTAGAAATGGATCTCGCTCATTGAGAACTTGGGATATACCCGAAAATTTTGGCATGGTTATACAAGCCCAAACAGGCAATATAAAAAATATAGGCCTTTTTATATTTCAATAAATCACTCTATTCTTATAACTTTAATCGTAGTCTATCCTGGCTACTTCTTAAATTCCAAAGCGCCCTGTCCCAGCAATTCTTTTTACAGTCCAGGGAAGCTCACGTTTAAGAGCCAACCATGATCACATCATTCCTGAGTGCATCATCATTCTGGTCACCATCTGCCATATCGAGATCCATCTCCATGCCTTCCATTTCCCCAAGCACCCATTCAACGAGATAGCTTTCATCAACCAGTTCTTCAACACGTTTATAATGCCTTTCTGTGTAGGCCGTTAGTGCATGGAGAATATCCTTTATCTCCGCATCCTGGCCGCCCTTTGTACGCGTGGGTGACGGGTTAGGTCGGGAAGCCAATTCCATAAAAGTAGATGGTGGATAAAATTTGAAAAGGGCATAGAGAAGACGCTGCGATATTCGTGATGTGCGCGCGTTGGTATTCCAGTCTCTAATGCGAAGGAGGAGAAGATATAGGTGATCTAGAGAAAGCGACTGAATAACAGCATCAATGTCTGGGTTTCCAGTCAGAGTCGGAGAAGAAGAGGATTGTTCAGTGTCCATCGCGGTAGTGAACAGAGACAAAAGTCGAGCGGGATGGTTCAACTGGAGCGCGAGAGTTATGGCTTCACGGTAAGCACCGACATGAATATAATTCTGTAGTTGTTGGTCTTGCTCTATACGCGCAGCGTTTGCAGATACCGCTGAAGACAGCGTGGTAGAGGTTGTGTCTTTCCAAAACGTTACTGTCGAGTCTGCCGCACCAGAAATCAGTGAGAAACTAGGTTGCGGCTCGTTTGACAAGGGGCGATTGGAGCTTGCGGAAGGTGGGAATGGAGTTGCTAGAGCCCAGACACGATCCGTATGGTTATCTAGAGTCGTTTCCACCTCTCCTGTATAAGGCGACCAGATTTTAACCAGGCCGTCACCAGCAGCCGATGCTACAAGCGGGTGGATTTGCGCCGCACCACGCGAAGAAATGTCTTCATCGGCGCTTGCTATGCGCGGAGGTGATAGCCAGATCACCTTGAGTACGCTATTAGAATGTCCCTCAAATGTGAGCAAGCAGCTATAATCCGAAAGGCTCCATAGTTTGATCGTTTTATCCCCAGAGCCAGTGGCAACAAGCCCTCGGCTAGTGGTTGAGCCAGATTTGGCGTTAATAGGAGGTGTGCCCGTGGGTGCAAAGCGGATTGACCATACGCCCCTTTTGTGGCCACGGAGGATCCCTTGAACGGATCCATCCTCAAATGACCAGATTTTGGCTGTGCGATCTTGAGACGCAGACGCAAAAAGTGTGCCGTTATGGTTAACATCAAGTGCATTGATGTCTTTATCATGCGCCTTTCTCGTATAAACCGCTTTTGGGTGAGACGGCCTTGTTAGTTTGCCGGTATCCCATCTCTTGATCGTGCGATCTTGAGAACCGGTGATCAAAAACGCAGGAGGATGGTCAAGGGGGCTTTTGAACCCTGGAGAATCGGCTGGGGGCGGAGATCGAGAAAGCGCAACGGCGCCCAATGACTCGGCGTGGCCTGTGAAAGTCGCGAAACAAGTATAGGAATTAGTAGCAGGATCAATGCGCCATAGCTTCGCCGAGTTGTCTTTGGCTCCAGTGGCAAGCCAATGCCCAGACCAGTCGACATCAATACAGATGACGATATCGTCGTGGCCTTCAAGTCGAGCAATGTCGGCACCAAAGTAATTTTGCCCTCCTATCGAGGTTGTGGAGACGATTCGTACATATTCGGAATTAGTCGCCATTGCGAGTAGAGATGCGTCTCGACCAACACAGGCCAAATCAATAACCTCATCGTCGTTTCCAGCAATGTTGCGAATGACAGGGAGCGGCTCGATCTTACTTCCTGGAGTGAAGGTAGATATCGTGTCGACAGAATGTAGTTTCAGTGTCTGGTCAACGTGTACGGTTAAAATGAAAGGCAACCTAGAATAATATTCCACCGCAACAATCCCTTCTTGTTCGGAGGTTGCTTCTTGGTCTTGGGTTACTTCACTGCCCCTGCTGGTATCCCATATTCTAAGCCGACCATTCTCTCCGCCAGTATAGCATAGCGAGCCCTCAACGAAACCAGCAGCTTCAACGCTCTCGAGAACCGGGGTGATCCTTTGGATTTCCCACGTGTCAGCATCCCAAGTTATAATAGTTTTATCCCTGCTCGCGGACAATAATGAGTTTAGAGATGCAGAAAACGATAGCCCGCGCACGACGGAAACATGCGACTCAAGGGAAGCAATAGACTTCCTCTTCAAGAGATCCCACACTCGGATCTTTCCATCCTCACTTCCTGACGCAAGCCGGAATCCTGCCGCTACCTCCTCGTGTTGTGCCGGCTCCTCCAACGGAATAAAATCAGGGCTCGGATTGGCTTGTTTACTCTTTCGCTTTTTTCCGCTCTTGCGATTGCCTTCATTTATGCCAGAAGCTTCAAAAAAGCATAGTGCAGAGATAACGCCGCCGTGGCCGTGGAAAGTGTGTGTTGCATAGCCCCTCTTGATATCCCAGATCTTGATGGAGCCGTCCGCACTACCTGTGGCTAGAAGTGATCCGGTATTATCGATCGCGGTCGTCACCACAGGCGAAGTGTGCGGTTTAAGGGACCGGAGGAGTTCAGGTCGCAAAAACTTAGAGTCTTGAGATTTGGTAAGGGAGAATATCCGCATAGCTAGCGATCGAGAACATATTGCCAAGTGGGAAGCGGACCGTGTTACTATAGAGCAGTCAGCTACAATCAACACTCAGAAAAGCGATGCATATCGTACTCGAAATGCTAGTTATAGGTTCACCGTCCTTGGACCGTTGTTAGCTTCACGAACACCGAGGATAATTCTAGAAAAACTGAAAACGCACCCCTTCTATGCTCGCAAGCTGCTTCCCTGTCTCCAAATCGGTAAGCAGTACATCTTCCCCCACGCAAGACGCCAACAGCCGCCCGCTTGCATCGAGTGCGAGACTTCCGCCGGTGTAAATGGGGCGGATCGTTTGAGAGGCTTCGAACGTGGTCTTGACGCTGATCTTCGACATTTGGGGCGAAAAGTGAATACTTAAATCATGTAGCCATGGAGGCGATCCAGATCTTGTCAGTCCGAAGTTCCAATGCTCTCCGGCGCGAGATGGACTGGCGAGGGGACCTCAGTTCTCCAAATTAAAATACGGGGCGATGATTTTTTGGCTTGTAATCAGATTACAGCCGCGCCCTCAATACGGCCAGGTGGGATTAAGCAGTGGTCTGTGCGCTTTGACGCGATAAGCGCCGCTTCGGCCACCGTCATGTGATCGGTCTATATCAACATCGCCGCCATCGCTTCCAACACCCTCGTTTGTTGCCCGTTCTCAGAGCATCTGGAAGAGAATGAATATGTATTACGATATTTTTGCATGGTGATTTACAGCCCTCGCGACTTTAATGGCTGATAGAATTTAGCATTCTTTTGACTCCGCTCTACCTAAGAGCGCGCTCCCTGCGTCATAATGGGGAGACGGGGATACATGAATATGATTGCCCTGGTATGAATGATCCTTTTCCTTTGGTTACGAAGGTGATACTCTTCGTCCATAGCCCATGCCTAGGCAGCACCTACTGCTGTGTGCTAAGTGCTACCGCTGTCATTTTGCCGTACGAGTTGACACGTCGTTTGCTCTCTGAGCCCCCCCACACAAGTCGTCCCATTTGCTTGGTTCTAGTTGCAAAACTAACGTCTATAGGGACGGTCGCCCTATGATCTACCAGAGGTACCTTCAGAGGGAGCAATCCCGGGTCACAGCATCCCGTCCAACACCAATGCGGACGGATACGTGCAACAATACGATGATCGCGGCCATCCCATAAATCCTGCTTCAAAGACATTGGGGAAACAACTCCGGAGAGCTAAAAATGACATTTTGTCAACCATGGGTATCGTAGTTAGTGGTGAGGACGGAAAGGCTGGAACGCCAAAAGAGAGGAAGAAAGCAGAGCTTCTTGCAAGAGAAAATACCTACGGTATTTTTATAGCTACTATGGACCAAATTGCGATGTTGACTACGTCTTGGTGGACGTCATCACTGTCTTCTCGAATCCGGGTATGTCCACTCGCAGTAATCGACAATATTGAACTGTTGACCGATTTGAATGTTAGACGTTTAATTGTTACAATCAAATGTCAGTGACGCAGACTATACGCCACGAGCGAAAATATTACGGCCTCCTCGCGTTTTATTATGCTGGAATGCCGTCCCGGGCGTGCTCGTTTGCCCTGGCTATTTGTCGTGTCCACTTATTGGATCCGTACCTAGAACATGTTTCTGAAAAGGTAGCATCCCTGTTCCAAAGTCACCGTATAAAAAACTTGATACGCGTTGTCTTCACCACAGCCGGATTTGGGTATGTTGCAAACTCGTGAACTCCATACAAAACCAGCCTTGCTAAACACTTTTAGAATTAAATCTGCGCTGTTTGTTATTATTGGTCAAATTTATATGTTTTCGTTACTCCAAGTACTTCATCTTATACCTCCATTTGCTATACCTTCACCTCGCATTTTCTTACCCTTTGGTGAGTTTTCCTTGGCGAATTTACCACCTGTTCCCAACGTTGTATCTGCAAAAGAGATCTTGAATTTTATTTCTCGCCTCGCTTTCTCTCCATTTCCATTGGTGTATGGCCTCGCGTATATCCGGCCGGTGGTCGAAACTCGGATATATCGTTTGCTGCGGCGGAGGCTACCGAAGCCAGATCGGCCAGATATGCTCTCCGTTCGCGTCGCTTTGGAAGGTGACTTGGTTGAATGGACTGTGCCTTCTCTTGGGAAAAGATCTCGGGAGGAGGTGCTTCGTCGCCAGCTTAGCCTGTTTGAAGATATGGGTTTCGAAATAACGGCCTTGCAAAAGTGGTTTAATGGCATCTTCTCTTGGATGAGAGACACAATGAAGAACTTCATCCAGCCAGGAAGGACTACCCCAGGAGAAGGGATCACTGAGTCTGTACATCGGCGAGTTGAGCAATTACGGCGCGATTTGACCGATGAACCGCCGCTTCCATCTCGAAATCTTCAGGTTTCGATGAGAGCCCACGACCGACGACGGCCTGAAGACCCAATGTGGCCTAATCTGGACTCGGAAGGGGAAGTGCATCAGATATTAACTGGTGAAGACCAACGCTTTGCTGAATCGCCTATTCAAATACGGGAAGATTATTTTCCAGAATTAGCCGCTATTCAAAGCAGGTTCCCAGCTGATGGGGATATAGAGGTTCCACCTGCTCAGTCACCTCGCATATCAGATCGTGGGCCTTTGCAAAGACCTCATTCTCGTGCAAATACATTACTCTCCTGGCATCCATCTCCAGATTTATCACCCCTTACTTCGCCTCGCGTAAGGGCGTCTTTGGTACATCAAAATTCTGATGTGATCACCATGCAACTGGAATTGCTGCAAGGTACCCGCAACCGAGACAATCAAGATCAAGGCAACAGAAACAATAGTGGTGATGATAGGGAAAATGTGAGAGAATCTCAAAATAGCGCTGTCGACCGTGCTGCCTCGGACTTGCTGGACGCCTTTCTCTCCAACCACACCAGCAACCGTCCCACAGTAACTCCAAGATTTCACGAAGAACTCGACACTAGTATGCCTAACCCTTTCATTCCGACCGCCGGTGCAGAAACCGTGGAGTCTATTCCAGCACTGGTTGCAACTCGCTCCAGGGCTTTCACGGCGCCTGAATTCCAAGCACCAGAAGGATCCTTGATACCGGATCAACTACGGGACACTGAAGATGAATCCTCTCGTCAACAGCCACCTCCCGGATCTCGCTCGCGGCGACATACTGCCACTTTAGCCAATTCAGACCGTACAAACCTCCCTGACCACCGAGTCACAATCCTCTCCATACACCCCGCTGATTCGTTATCTTCCCATTTTTCAGTGTTATTAACCTCACTGCTTCTATATCCGTTTGAATCATTCGTTCTTCGGAGGTTAGCAGTAAGCTATTTATGCTCTCACTCTACCGCTAGCATTCCATCACCCTTATCTCATTCGTTGGCGGGCTTGGGCCTTCGCACAGAAATCGTTACGTACGGTATTCGCTCGTTGGGATCCTGGTTTGGAGGGGGCACCTTGTTCGATAGATTGTCGTTCATAGGGAAATTGGCGCTTATTACGGGGTTGGAGGCTATCTCGAGCGCCGCTTTGTGGGGAATTGGGACGACGGTGGCCGTGGCCCTAGGGAAAAGGAAATTTGGATGGGGAGGACTATAAATTAGTTCGTCTTGGTGAAATACATATACATTCTGGCCCAGCTGTGAACTGGGACTGATGTTATATTAGGAAATCATGTGGATGGCAGATGATACACGATCACTTGGATTTTACGAACCGGTGTACGTGCCATGACGGCATCATGCGTTTTGATAGCTTATAGGTATAGTACACTTGTATTGCGAGCATTATATCCAACAAGGCATAACTCACCGTGCTATTCAACTTTTTTCTTTCCCCTTTCCTTTAACTTTCCTTCTCTCCCATACCATCAAATACCCTTCTCTCGTAAACAACGTTTCGCTCTCTGCACGTTGTACCCACAAATCCTGCGTTTCCAGCCACTCTGGACCCCTCTGGGTTTGCGCCTTAGCATTCTCCACACCCATAGCTTTATCATGCAGCTGGATCAGCCAGTTGACTCTGTGGCTACCTGCCGAAGCCCCAGGAGTTGTGGAAACTCCCAAGGTTGCACCGCCAGCACCGGCAGCCGCCGCTTCAGCGAGTCCGCCGCGATTATTTTCTGGGGCTCGGGTTTCAGGATCCCCTGGAGCAGTAACTGTTGCGTCTAGGATAACGTTTGCGACGAGGTCGTAGATGATTGGTTCTCCAGGAGGCCAGACGGACGGGTTTGGTTCGACGTAGGGTGACATATCCAGACCTCTCGGGGAAGGGAAAGTAACAATAGTAGGATTCCGCTCGGCGACGAACTTGTTCTTACTGAATCGCTTAATGTGAAAGAGTAAGTATGGTGGGAGCGGGTGAAGAAGGCGATGGCGGACACGGTGGGATAGCTTTTCGATCGCAGTGACCCCATTGTATTTGTTGAGAAGGTTTATGAGAGGAACTTGGGGGATAATAGATTCTTTATCAGCGGACTGGAAGAGAGGGGTCGGTGGAAGGTCTAGAGTTAGGATCAAAAAAGGCATTTTCTGGGAGGTTGTTGTGCTCGATTCGGAGAAGACAAGGCGAGCGTTAGCACTGTCTGACCTTGCAGTGATGGCCTGGCTTTCGATCCGAAGATGGCCTTGGAAGGCAGAATGTATCACGCTGGTGGGGGTAGGTGAAGGCTTTTTTGATCCACCAAGACTGAGGTGTAGATTATTGAGAAACCATGAAAGAAACTCAACGGGGTCGGATTGATGTGTGAGCGTGAAGCGTTTTGAGGACCGCAATGCTATCTCTTGAAGTAGTTCATGAGGAGATACATGGCATTTAAATGCTTTTGGGTTCCATAGTTTGCGCACTAGGGTTCCGAAACGGAGCGGAAGCTGAGGCGTTCCGGGGATTTGGAAATGATGCAGGAGAAAAAAGTTCCGAATCGGACGGACATGGGCAAGTAGTTGGACAATGACATTCAAGTAATCGTTTGATTTAATGTTGTTCATCCCAACATACCCTAAAAGTCCACATGTTAGCAATAGCGAGCGTGCTTATGGGTAAATAGAAGTATACCTGGCCTGTACTTCCTCCCAGCCAAATCCCATGCCTCGATAACCACTGTATCCAATCTAGCGACTTCTTCCTTGGTATATGTCGGATCAACTACGTATTTGATATCATCCAAGCTCTTATTCTTGACTTCATACCCTTCCGGAAGAACATAGACTCTCTTCGTTTCCATATTCACGAAAACGTGGTGTCCGATCTCCAAGGAATGAAAGTATGCGTGAGATTTTGGGCCACGGCCCTGGAAGTATTTTCCGCAAACGAGACAAGCGTAAACATTGATATTCGACAAGGTTACTGAGCACAGTTTCTCGAAGTCAAAATCCAAATTCGATCGTTGTATCGTATCGAGATAGAGGTCGCTGTAGCCTTGAAGCGGCTCGCTCTGGCGAACGGCGGTTTGAGAGGCTGGCTCTTCAGCATCCCAATCGGAAATATGACCAGCAGCTTCCTCCACTTCTTCCGCTTCCTGATCGGCAGCTGCGAGAATATCGGCTCCATTGTGCTCGTCATCTTCCCACCGGCGCTCTCGTAACGGTGTACTACCGCGTTCCTTCTCTTGTTCGTCGTCCTCCATTCTTAGGCGCTTGGAGGTGGTGGAGCCGTCGGCGGACGCATCATCGCCGACAGCGTCAGCTGGTCGTTTCGTCATGGCCGGTGGTCTCTGAAGATAACAGTTTGTGGTTGGCGCATCAAGTGCATTGAAAGCTCCCCAGCAGTCGACGCCAAGGATGATGAGCTATTCTGCCGCGCGACACCGCCTTGTTAACTGAAGCTCAAAGCAACAGCGCGATTCTGGATTTTGGATTTGGATTGTAGAACAGCAATCCGTTTGGGATCATTGTGGACTGCAAGTGCGAATGAGAGATTAGGATTAAACATTTTGGGGGCTGGATTAGAGAGAGGTTTATATTTGGATATATCTCGAACACTACGATAGTTGCGGATACCCCAACACCGAACTGGCTTTACGGATTGGAGAAAACGTTTCTCGGTAGCTCAAAATCATAGCATCGAAATAAGGTAGGGACAATACGAAATTGGAAAACAAACAATGCATACATCATTAAGCGCTAACAGCTTGCTTGTTGTTGCCATGGTCAAAATTTACATCCTTTATGCCGTCTTTTGTCACCACCTTGACATAGACCTAGAGATGAACAGTTAATGTCAAGGGAGCCAACACAAGGGTATAGAAAGAGGGGCCCGAAAACTCACTCCTTTGAAGTCGATGGGTAATCTGCGTTTCAACTCGTCGGTGCACATCTCGAGCAGCTTCAACCCTTGGTCATAACTGATGTCGGGTTGATGATGTTTGTCAAGAATAGAAAGGCAGTAGTATCTTAGAGACCCACGTTAGAACTCAAATATGCAAGCCGCAGGAATCAAGGTTGGCCATACTGTGCATAACCATGTGCTGCGTAGGGCACTGGGGCCAAAGACGCCAGATAATCTAACCAGTACAGGCTGGGCTGTTGTGTGATCGGATCCACACCACCGAGCAGAAGGTTGACTGTATAAGGACTTCTTGATCTTAGGCTTCTCGCAAGCTCTCCCCGTACGAAATTGGCGACTGCAGATGGGCTAAGCTCGGTCTCGTTTCGCATGGAGTAGAGTTGGATATTGGCTTGGATGTATTCCGCGAATTGTACTATTCGAACAATAACATGAGCATGCGCACTAAGTATATTCCCAGAACGGATAATATTTAACATACTTGTGTCCCCGGCTTCTCCAGAATATGCCATCAGGGTGTGCTTATTCAATTTTCGCGTCTTGTCGTCTGTTGCCTTTAAGATCGTAGGGCCTCTCATGGCAGCTTTGGATGCTGCGATCAAGGTGAAATCTTTCCCCGAGATGCCTAATAGAACCTCCCTATAGGGCCATTAGCTGGAGAGTTTGGCAGAAGAAGCTTGGTCTCATTGCTTACATGGTGATGATTATCGGACAATGACACCGAAATCAAGACTTGCAATTAATTCGGCGGTTCGTGAGCTTCAAAGAGCAGCAAGCGAGAATATAAGGTGGTCGCTACGGCTTTCCAGCAGAGTCCAACAGCGAGCTCCCGTCGTCGTGACGCGGTGAGCTTGCCGCCTAAACTGGAAACGGACGTCAGATGCGCTTAGTCATTACCAAACGCCTAACCCTATTTGGATTTAGGCGCAACTATTTCGCCGACTCCGGGAACCTTATTTCGAGTTAGCTTACATAATCTATCAAGCGCGATCGAAAAAAAAAAGTTTCATCAATTCAAACAGCGTGAGCTCGAGAAGTCACGGAAAGCTACCGGATTGCCGTGTGGTTTTACAGTCTCGCTCACCGCAGCGGCTCCATTGAATTCATCTTCTCATTTTTTACCATGTCGTCGTTTTTCACCCTTCCGGCCTCGCAACGCAAACGGAAGCGGGAGGACCAGGGTTCGGCTCCGGTCTCTAAAAAGCGAGGAGTTACGGGCAAAGCCGGCGCTTCATCAGGCGAACGAAGGCAGCCGCGACAGGAGAGAGACGAATCTATATCAGGGAGTGATTCTGACGACGATGCGCCCGTAGAATCAGAGGAAGAATCAATAGATGAGGACGATCTTTCTGGTTCCGAAGAGGAGGAAACTGCTGCGGAACGGAGACTGAGATTGGCGGAAAGATACTTGGAGAATATAAAAGAGGAGGTGGACGAAGCTGGATTTGATGCTGCGGAAATCGACCGGGATTTAATCGCCGAGAGGTTAAAAGAGGATGTTGTATGTTGGCTGCGTTTCGCGGATTCCATGACGGATATTAACTGATGCTAGGACGAATCCAAAGGGCGAACCTACCGTCAAATCGCCTCCCAATTATCGTTTCCGACTGCAACTCACTCCTACTTCCGCGCAGATACCCAAAGCACAACCTCTGTTGCCGTTCGGGCGCCTTTTGTCTATACTGTGTCCAAGGATAAAACGCTGATTAAATGGGAATTGATGTCACCCAGTGCTCCGGATGTAGAACGAACAAATACGAAAAGGCCCCCGCGCCCTGTTCGTAAAAAGCCGAAGAAGATCCGGTCTATACGTGGACTACAGCAAGGAGAAGGTGGCGGGGAGTCTCAAGGGCACACTGGACCTATCCTTGCTGTCGCAGTTTCGCCTTCCGGGAAGTTTGTCGCGACAGGGGGCATGGATAAAAAAATAATAATATGGGATGCAGAGACATTGATTCCTCTCAGAACGTTTACACAACACCGTGACGCCGTAAGTGGGTTATCCTTTACAGGACGCATCTCCGCTGCTACGACTGGAGAACAGCTCTTCTCTTCGTCATTTGACCGCACAATTAAAACATGGTCCCTCAGTCCCGGCTCACATGCTTATGTTGAGACGCTTTTCGGACACCAGGACCATGTTATTTCCGTGGCTTCTATGGTCACGGACCAGTGTGTAAGCACCGGTGCTCGCGACCGCACTGCCCGATTGTGGAAAGTAGTTGACGAGACCCAACTCGTTTTTCGTGGCGGCGGTTCCAAAGGCTCCCAATACGCGGAAAATTCAATTGATTGCGTGGCAGTCATCCCGCCTGCACACTTTGTCACTGGTTCGGATGATGGCTCCATTTCATTATGGTCAATTCATAAGAAGAAACCGCTATTTACTGTCCGCCAGGCGCACGGGCTAGATCCCATACCCGACCCAATAAACTCTTCCGAACAGGATCCCGCAGCCGCTTCTCGTAGCACCAAGTACATGAGACCAACTCCACGTTGGATCACAGCACTCGCAGCATTACCAGGGACAGACATCGTTCTCAGCGGAAGCTGGGATGGGTGGATTAGAGCATGGAAGGTTTCTGAAGATAAAAGGAAGATAGTCCCCCTTGGCTGTGTTGGGGGAACGGATCAGAGCACTTCAATTATCAGCGAGCAACTCGAATTCAGTCACGCCCAACAGTCAAACGGCACGGATGCCACCAGCACGTCGCCGAATGAGCCATTACTGAACGGAATAGTAAACGACATTGCCGTGTTTGAGCGCCGACCCCAAGACCCGAATAAATCAGCCAATGGTCGGGAGTCCAAAGCGCCATCCGCTGATTGTATCCAGCCAGGAGTATGCATCGTTGCAGCATTGGGCAAAGAGCACCGTCTTGGGCGATGGAAGGTGTTTAGATCCATAGACAGGAAGAATATTGGAGGCTCAGAGGCTGGAGGTAGAAACGGAGCGATGGTTTTTGAAGTGCCGTTTGTGGCAAACACAAACGGGAGTGGGAGCTAAGCTCGAGGTCTACTTTAAAACCAAGATAGAAACACCTGGTTTTTTGATATGCTTGTTTGATAACTATCTTGGGGAATATAAAACTCCAAGGCCCATTGATATGCTAAAATTACATTCGCCGCAAGGAGACAGCAGTTTCTGGTTCTCTCCTTGCTCTCAACAGGTATTAGCTGTTAATAAGTAAATATGATGGTCCTACACATCACTGCCATAGACAATACAGTACAGTTGTGGAGGCCTATCCTTTGGAAACATTTGCGAGGAAACACAAAGGGGCAGGGCGGTTATTCCTCATAGATGCGACCACCTCTTGTAATATAATCTACATATTTAAACTGCTTAAAGAACGGAGATAGCAAAGTTGTGGAGGTAAAGGTAGAAGTACTTCAATGAATTAAAATGTAAAATTGCTCTTGCTCAATAAGCCTTTTACCAAACAATATAAACCAGAAACAGCGCCATAAAAGCCTCAGGTCATGTAGAATGTGTGTATATGACTTGGTTTGTATCAATAACCAGTAGAGCTATGCAAATACCGCATGAACTTGCATGCAAAATTAAAAGGAAATAGGCAAAGTAAGATGCGCTTATGATACCTACCCAACTGAAATTTCGGCCTTCGAATTCCCCATCGCCGTGTGCTCGAAGCCGTCTGAAGTTCCATTTTTCTCCCATAATAACCGGTCCCATAAAACCAACCCCGTCTAAGCCAACGCCAGTCAAATATTCAGTTTAGGCGTCTGCCATCAACGACTACCGCGAAGCCCTTTTTGCGCCGTTGGAATTCAACATATTGCCAAAGTGCGGCAGCCCATAAAGACGAAACAAGTTAGAAACCACAGTCTCTCCGGGACGTATGCTTATTAAAAGCAGGTAGAACTCGCAGAACCTTCTCCCAATCTGAAACAGAATTTATACGGAAAGACACGAAATCAACTCAACAACTTTCCGTATCTGACCCCGAGTTGTCACTCTCTGTATCAGACAAAAAATGGCCCGGAAAGTTTTGTGTTCTTTGTCTCCTCCTCACGGGGCCATGAGGGCCTTCGGAAGAACTGTCGTTTGCTGAAGGTGTAGGGCTTACCCGTGACGTTGATACGCTGTCAAGGGAGATCCCAGTGCTGGAGGATGACCGCAGGCGTCTTCGTCGGGTCGCCATTGTCGCTGGCCTAATGGGTTCGTCATCATCGTCATCGTTATCATCATCAAGCTCGATAACTTCGGGTTGCCGGAACAGATCGAGATCGGCAAAGGGATGCTCGCTCACGCCTTCAGACATACTATCGCCAATTTCACTAGGGACACTCTGGTCAGTTCTGACTGACTGATTTGAGTTCTCGGTCAAATAGCTGCCGTTTCCCACGACCGTTGAAGTAGCAGCTTCGGAGTCCTCGCCATGATCCTCCTCTACGTCGTCATCAATGAAGGAATCCATGTCATCCGAGCCTGCTTCTCCGTCGTTATCTTCGTCACTGGATGTGTAGGGACCATAAGAATCCATGCTATTAAAGTGATCCACGCTTAACATGTTTTCGGGGTCAAATCGGGCCGCCCATGCGGCCCCTTCAAGCACCTCGAGCATATCTGAATCGTCATCGGAATAATAATCGCCATCTTCCGTGAAATTGTCCCCCATGGATACGTATCCACAATGGATGCAATCCCCGTCTTCCAACTCCCAAGTACATACGGGACAACGTTCGACTCCGTCAGCAATGTCGCGTATCGGTAACCCGCCGAGTATGGCGTTCCGGAAACACCCTTGAAATAAGCCTCTAGATTTCGAGTTTTCACCATTTTTGTCGGACTCTATTCTCTCCGTTTCGGCGCGCTGATTCGTCAGATGTTCATCCGTAGTTTCGTGTTTTTCAAGGAGTTCTGGTCGGCTTATAAAGATTTGCACAATATTACGAATCTTGAAGGGCACCAATCAAGTTAGGTCAGCAAGGTTCTATGGGTGTTAGCGTCAATGAACATACCATGTAAGCGGGTGCAGGTTCCGAGCGTACCGCAGCCCGACAGTCGGGACACGTCTTTTTGCGCTCATGGCTAACAAACCACTGGGTAAGGCACTGTCGAAGCATCAGCCTACCACCACAGGCATTATTGTGGTAAGCACCGGCTAGCTTACACTGTAGCAAAAGGTATGCCCGCATCCTAAAGTAAACGGCTCGTAGAGCGGTCTGACACATATCCCACAAAAAACCAAGGCCCGGATGTCATCGATACCCTTCTGGAGAAGCTGCAGTAACTGGGACGCGTCAGCAACCTCAATAACGTCCAATGTATAAGCTGCAAAACAGCTCACTTACACCAGAAACGTCAGGCCGCTCGGGGGACTGCAAGTTGTTAACCGCCAAGTGACCATCACTCGAGCACGCAGGCGACTTCCGTTTCTTGCTGAGGGACATTACTTCTTGGGTTGCGAAGGGCGTGATGGGAGAAAAAGGGGCGTGTTGGAACGCAAAAAGGGTGCGAAAGAGCTAGGTACGCCCCCTCAAGCTACCTAGTCCAGAAGGGTGGAGATATCGGTGTCCTGAAAACAAGACTGAAGATTCGCGTCTGGATGGGACAATAATAGGGACGCGGCGAACTTGGGAGGCTCAGAATCCGGTGGCCCCAAGGAGGCAACAGATATCAAAGCTGATGGGCATCAAGTAGTCACATATCCTTTCAAGAAAGACAGCTTTGCACCAGGTTAACGCGCGGGTGCTTGTCGAAGCCGCTTCAAGCTCGAGGAGAAACTGGAGATTGGGCACGCTGATGCTGCCATGACTAATCGCGCGGCTAGAATCAGTAACTATACTAGTCCCAACATGGCTAGACGCTGTGTGCCTGGATTTGCTTATGTAACACGATTGGACTTGGCGCTATTCCTTAACCGGCCGCGAGTTGCCTTTAAGGTTAGCGTAGTTTACTGAGACAATATCAAAATACAGATAAAATCGGATCTGATTGGTTGACATTTATACAGGCTGGGAATTCGTGTAACTGATTGTCTGGGACACCAACGTCATGCATCTGAGAACCTTCCTTAGACCTCGCACTGCTGGAAGACTGCAGTGACCGCCTTTGAAGAGGAGATGGAAACCGATACCGACTACCAGACAGATGGCAGTCTTGTTGTGGTGAGGACGGCTCATTTCAGTGAGACAGCAAGCCTTAGTACTCACACTAAAACTGACTATGAGGCTGGCCTCTTTTCTGGAATCCGGGAGGGCTTCAGCAACGATGAAGACAGCAGGCTCAATTTTTAGCCAGGCGGTAAGCCAGAAGTCGTCTGTTTGAGTGGACCTCAGAGAGCCTTCCATTCGCCGCTCTAATAAATCCATCCCCCTTTTTCTTTCGCCCAGTCACGGGCATTTCGGCATGCCAATACTCCTTGCCGAAAGGTCTCCAAATTCCCGGTCAAGCTCCAAGAATCAAGCTGTGTCATAATATATTCAGGACGACTATCGGGATCATCAGACTTGCTGATATGGGTGCTGAATAGTTTGAGTACACCAGCCTGGTAAGTTGACGAGATAGTGTAGGCATTTTCATTGTAGGTGTGACCTCCATCACACTGGTAAGATTGCAGGGCATGCATCATAGCAAGCCTGGTGGAGTGCCACAGCAGGGAGTCCATCAAGGTCTTTTGCCTCTAAAAAGAATTTTGGTGTCATTGGGAGATGACCCTATGTTGATGGGATAATTTGCTGGCTAAGATCTTCACAGATCTGATGACTGAGCCGTCCAGGATGTGCACCATAGAAGTGATCTGGTTTTGCTGAAGACAATGTACTATCTGTTAAAGGAGCAAGATTTCCAAAAGGATAGTCCCCTCCCAGCATTTGGGATCACTGATGTTGTAACAGGCTTCTCTTTAGATGCATTTGTATCTGCTTGTTTTAATTTTCTAGAATCCCCATTAGAGAACTCTGTTGGAGAAAGGGACAGCCAGGGCTGTGTTAGTTGTCCCATCATCTCCCATATATTATTCAGCATTGTGGGTATTCGGCCATCTGGATACTCGTATCCATCAGGGTGAATGCCGTGGTCAATTAGAATATGCTGAAAGTTGCGACTGTAGGCTGTACTTGAAGATATTGTTGTTGTCTTTGTGTCTCTAGAAGCAGATGACAAAGGGGATTCTGCACAACACTTCCTACTGTGGGATCTGGATGTCCTTGAGCTCATCAGAACCGAATACTAGATTCACATTAGTAACTAGTGCTGGATGGCTTTGAGCTTCTAGCATACATTCCTCACATCGGACAGATCGGGCCCTCCCAATCTTGATAACCTGGATATCTCCTTTAATTGAGCAGGTGAACAATCATGAAGAAACTAGGAAGCCAGATAGGTTTGAGGCGCTCCTCCTGCTCAGCTTGAAACTGGCAAGTGATTGGCCTCTGACGCTCGCGGGTGACAGGCTTATTCTGCTTTCGCAGTGGTCTCGATGAAGTCTTTCTTCGGTTGAACCCCTTGATCGCACTCTTTGTTAAATGGACCATTGATAAATTATCCCAGTAAGCTGGAGAATGACTGTTCATCTGCCTGTTTAGCTGATACTCCAAAGTTTCGAAAGGGCGCTCAGGGCATTGTCGCTTGCGGGGAAGTTGGAGAGGCTTTAAAGACATACGGCTGTCGGGCGCTCAATCGTGCGCAGCGACAAGTGGGGAAGCAAAAGCCTTTATATAATGCTAATCCGAGCAAGATGTTGCCATGTGGGAAGCAAAACAGGGAGGGACGGAGCACACTTTGTTTCCAAAGCTGCTGGAGCAAAGGTTGTTCGCTTTTTCAATCTGGATGAAGTTCATTAACCATTGCAGAGAATTCATCAGCCGCAAGAAGAAACGGGCAAAGGGGCAATGACCATTGATGGCAAGAGCTGGGGCTGGGATGCATGCAGCACTGAGTGTTCAGGTACATAAGTCACTTAGTTACAGGATCAGAAGCCCAAGAGTTCTTTGGTGATCTTGTCCGCTTTCCTTTGACCATCCATTTTCTCATCAACTCGAAACTGCTACTCTTATGTTAATTCTTTAATGCTTGCTTCTCGGCCCAATATTCAAAACTTACAATGGAGCTAACAAATGTCAAAGTAGCTGAGATCACCTTCCAGGAGCGACTGGCGAAACGGGACTATTGTGTGATATTCTTGGTGGTTGTCAGAGGCAAGACCTGTGTCATGAAAGTGGTGTGTTAGGCTCCTCGCTGGCTAGATTCTTTTGCTGAAATATTTCCTGACGTCTCCACAGCATCGTGTTCAAGGCCCTAAACAACCATGGGACTCCCAGGTCCGTGAAACAAACCTCTTTATCTGCGAATCGACAGCATATCGACGCCTGACACAGGCTGGAGTTTGTGCCCGGGGTATAACCCCTCGGTTCTATGGAACGGTTGAAAATATTGATCCGACACAGTCCCTACCACATCTTCAGTCATTTGTCAATGATGAACATCCTCCAACAGCCATCCTCCTAGAATATATCCCCAACATGAAGGAGTTGAAATGGACCAATTACAATGCAAGCAGGATGCAAAACTTCATTGACGGGTTGAATGCGATTCATGGCGCACTCGTTTATCACGACGATGTTCATCCCAGGAATATGATGATCGTAGAAGAGGATCCAGAAAGAGCAATCTGGATAGATTTTGACCGGGCACAAACGTTTAATGGAAAGCTTACAGAGAGGCAGAAGAGATGGATTACGGTTGAGAAGGAGCTTATGGCTGGGGTGGCCGATTTTATGGTCCGTATCCTCTGCTTCCTTTACAGTTATGCCCGCTTTCAACTAACTTTGTTGTATCTCTGAGCTACAGAAAGACGACTTTGTCAATGGGGTATTCAATAAAACTTGTCAGTACTATCGGTGACCTAGAGACTTGAGAATGACAGAGGAGAAGAATATCGTCTCCATTCCTGCAACCTTGCAATCCGACGGGCTATCCTAAAGCCCATTACTTCTGCACCGATTGCGAGCTTCGAAGCTTGTAATCTACACTCATGACATTTAAAGATCAACTGGCGGAGATGGTGTAAGGATTCCTCACACATCCGGGGGCCAAGTGGCAAGCACGTATTTCCATTGGTTGCAATATTCTCCAAGAGCTCATTTATTATCCCTGCAGCTGAATCATTCATTGAAGCACCAACTTCTGGAATCAAATATCTCCCTCATGGCTAGGTAGTGGCTCACGGAGCTCTAGTTGAGGCTCATCAACATCCACGTCTTCAGTGAGGATTTTTAATGTGCTCACACAAGAAGACAGTGCTCATCCCATTGTTCACTGGTGCAAGTCTTCCCAACGTTCACCACATTTAGAGGTTTATCGCTTGTTAAGAGGATTTTAGATCTAATAAGCCCAACTTATGCGACCAAGGACACTGAGACAGAGTAACTAGATAAACTAGACGAATTAAGGCTCTGATCAATGACGCGCCTTCAACAAACAAGCTTCCGAGCCGGTAAATCCATGGTATTTGCCACGGTAATTTACAGCACTGACCAGCCGTGACAGCCAGCGTTACAAGCGCGAACGCGCCAGTCTAGCCGCTTCGAGGCTAAAAATCCGGGTCAGATCTTTCCGTACTGGGACTAGCGGCCTTGGGTCTTGGCCAGGAAGCGTCCCCCATTTATTGGGACGGTTCCCCCCTCGTGCTTCGATCTTCCCTTCATATCCGACCGTCCTGATTCCCAGACAGCGCGTCTGGTCATCGTTGCGTGAGTACTAATGGAGAGCCAGCATGACAACCAGGCATGGTCGCACGCATTGGCCGTCGCTTTTGGCCATCAGAACCAGCTAAGCAGCTCCTCTTGTTGAGAGCGTTTAAAAGTACGCCGATTTTCCCGCTCCTGTGGCCATGGAGACTACTGATGCTACAATTGCTAGCCTTCTCAACATATTTGAACGTCTCCGTGGATGGGGTCTGCGAATTTCCGCTTTTCGGGAGTCGATCCCTGAGGGACCCTGCAGCCCATACAGAGGTTTAGGGGAGTGGTTTCAGCTAAAAGAAGCTGCCAGTCTATGGCAATGACGTCCGGCAAGGATGTTCACATTGTCGAGTATCTACCTATTTAATGTCGCGATGCAGAATTGAAATCCTTGAACTCCTTTTTGGAACTTTGCGTTTATCCTACATCTACGTGCAAACACTAAGTTATGTTTCCAGTACTCTCTCTATCAGCGATAACTTGCAGACATCTCTCAACACATATCGACTGCCCAATGCAACTAGCAGTTGTTTCGCCATCATCGTGCTACTTAGCGGGCGGGAATCGTAACCTGAGCAATCTCCTGCTTCGAAGTGTTCCGCATTCCGGTACGACACCCGAGATATCCAAAGCGACAATGATAAGACGATTCCAAAAGCAACAACGAATTATTATTGAATAGCATTATATATCCGATGCGACACCTTTAAAACATCAACTATAATCACGATAGACGAAAATCTTCAACCAAGCACGATCGTTCAGTGCTACGCCATCTCACGAGTAATTTGCCCCGGACTTATATCCCAATGCACCATCTTCCGTACCCGATAAGCATTTAGGGTCCGTTCTACTCGACTGTAGTGCGAGACCGCTTCCTTGAACGTTCCTTGAGATCCTCTGAGAGCAGATGGCTGTCGTCCGTGAAGCCCCTAGTGACTCTATCTTCGTCCACCATTTCTATGTTCATATGGGCCAAAAACCTCTCCTGTTCCCCCAAAAATTGCTTTAGCTTGTGAGTATCAAAAGGTCGACTGGCTCGCCTCTTGTCGCGTATCTCCTTCAACTTGAGGCGAATCCTTTCCTCAAGCATTTCCAGCCTGTACTCGCTAAATTGGAAATAAAGCTCCGACAAATCTGACACGGCACGCACCGTGGTGAGGACCGTGTCATCTGGCAACACTGGAGAACGGGGCCGGAATGACGTTACCATGGTGATGCGCTCAGTCGAACCAAGTGCACGCAATGCGACATGCTCGATATATCGCCCTTGAAGTACAACCGCACAACCCTGTGGTTATCCTGTTAGCTGCGACCAAGGTAGTCGGATGTTCGGCCGTGTGGGAAACCAACTAACCATCTGTGGACCCCTGACTTTTAGAATACTTCGGTCCCCTTTCCGAAGAGCAGTTTCTCCTCCGATCATACTAGTGCAATCGCTTAACATGAGAACGCAAACAAAAGGATAGCTATCGGTATGCCAATCGACTATAGGCATCTGCTCCTCCTCGTCCCCATCCTGGGCTTTCTTGGCTGCATCCACCAGGCCTTTGTTCTTCTGTTCCTCTGACTGAATAGAGATATTAATATGCCCTATTTCCCAATCCATCACCGGAACCAGGTCGATCCCAGCGATCTTCGAGATTATGTCTAAAGTTTTGGGACTTTTCCAAGCATCGTACACAAACGGAGCGAATCTATGATTGTCAGTTTAGGATGAATTAAGAGCCTGGGTTTAGGCTCAGGGACTCTTCTTACTCTGCAGCGAAGCCTCTCAATTGACACTGAGCGATATTGCTTGAGAACTTGTAATGGCTCCAAACATTCTCGCTCAGCACCTCCTTACGCATCTGCTTGACGGCTTCTGCGGAGAATAACGGAAAAGGTTCGGAAACACCGACAGGGGACACGCCGACTTCATCCTTATATCCTAATTCTTTCATGGAATATACTTTGGAAGGCGGAATGAAGCTAAGATGTTTGCTTGCGTCGAACTGAACGCTTTCAGGTTGTTCGATAGAATCTCCGCTGTTATCGGCCGGTTTTGTTTTACCGTTGTGAAGTCTCAAGGAGCGCGAGGGCACATGGGCTGGGAGTGCGGGGGGAAATATTGGGGTGAGGGTATCTGCAGCTGCCATTTTTCTACTTTTGTGAGTACATTCCCCGTCAATGGAATGGAACTTTTTGAGGCTGCCTTTTGACGGCAGTATCGTCAACTGGATAAAGACGAAGGAAACAGATGATACTTTGACGGGATGCTATCATCCAAAGACCAAAAAAGGATATGATGTCTGACATGTTGACGTCGGGCATTACCACTCACCCTGAAAGTTGCTCTATGTTTATGGGCGTTGCACAAGTGCAGCGGGGCCTAAGCTAGCAAAGGGTAGCGTGGCGAGTCAAAAGAGATTTATGTGTTGACGAAAACACAAGTTTGGCTATGAGGCGCAATATCGAGAAAATATATCGATGAGAATCGACAATGGTGTCACTCATTACGTTTTTCCTGGACAGGGAGAAAGGGCGTATTTATGCTCATTGACCCTTGTTATCCGAAAGGACAGAAGGTCATTCCTGCTTGCCTTTGGATTTGGTTTGCGCTTCTGCATGATAACACTCCAAGGAGCGCTTTCGGGCCCTTGGAAACGCCTTGCTCAGTCATAGTTTGAATATTATTGAGATCATATGGCCAACGATGGCTGGCCGGCCAGCCATCATGACGGAACGGTGGACCTCTCCCGCTCCAGGCGACACGTAATGGAATCCGCTGTTTTCTTCTTTCAAGCTCGAATACAGACTTGCCAGGATTCATTGTTGCTAGCTTATGCCGACGATCTTCGTCTGAACAGGCTCCTCGCAAGCTCCTCCTGGATGGGTGGCTATTTGCCTACAAGAAAATAAATGATGGAATGCCAAACTGTGAAACATGTCGGTTTACCATCCCGTGAATCCCTGTCGGTCCATTATCCCTCCTCAGGATACTGTTTCTTGTTTGGGTTTGGCAACTTCGTCTCCTTTGGACCTGGTTCGCTGTTGGGAGGTTCCAGCCCTTGATCGCCACTCGGTCGCATTGGCAGTCTTTGATACCTCAACGCTCCTTATAAGTACGCGTGACAGGATAGCTGCATGCAGACCACTCTGGCCTTGGACGAGAAACAGTTCAAACGTGAGAGTAATTGCCCAGAGCATGGGCGAATAACGGCTGGAAAACAAGTGGCCTTCGCTCTTGTTTCCTGCATGGGTTGTGCTGTATTACGCTTGTAATACGACTGTTTTGAGATTTCCACCATGTTTTGTTCAACATAAGCTTAATTCCTAGCATCTTTGTTCTAGATTCCAGACAAGAACCCGTGGCACCCGTCCAGCGAATTCGACAAAGGCGTTCTCATAATCTCATAACCCCCACGAGAGGAAACGTGGATACGAATTCACCGTCTTAAGAAGACGTTGGGGTGATGGCGTTGGAAAACGGTCGTGATGGCAATCAGAGCACGGTTATGGGCCAGAGAACAATGCGGTGTTTGGGTGCCCGTCTATGTGGATTTTTTGACTCAATTAGGATGCGGTCTGTCAACGATTGGGCTTCGCGGCGCTTCAACTTCGTGAGAACCCGGTCCAGCCATCTGCGAAACGAACTGTGTGGAGGGCTCGATGTGATGATTATGCGCCCTCGACAGTTATTTATGGCAAGGATGGTGCAGCACTGTGCGCTCATACTTCTCGGAAGACCGCTTTTCTCGGCGGCAATAGAAGTTTTGTTCTTGAAATTTGGGTAACTAGCTAGTTGATCGGAGCCTCGCCAATTCCAATCCCCCCAGCGAGGGTCACAGGACCAACCTGACCATTTGACTTCTGCTACAAGACATCCTGTTGGTGCTACCGTTGCCACTTCAGCTACGTTTTTATAATTATAACTACCGGTTATCTGATATTTTGACCCAAAAGCCCCTTTGTGCAACACCGCACGGTGCGGGGTTGGCCTCTGAGACGCCGGTTGATGTGACTGTGTAGCTCGCAAGCTTGTTCTTCCTCACCTGCCAGCCAATTTTTCCAAACCTAGCTAGCTTTCCAAGCCCGTAAAACCTCCCAGGCAGATAAAAAGATAGTTCAAGAACTAGCCCGCTGATGAAGCCAGCAGCTTTCCGACACCCAGTCTTCCAAAAGTGCACATCTAGCCACAACTCGCTTCCCCTAGTTTTATGGAGTACTAGCTAGCCCGAAGCGCTGTACTCAAAGATGACTAATCAATCTCAGATTGCCGCGCGCCAAGACCGCGGTTAATCTCGCTCCGAGCGGCCAATCATGTTCGGCAACGCCAGTTCATCGCCATTGCACAAATCTCCAAACCGCCAGAACCCGTCAGCCAGAAATCTGTTTGCCCGGCTCGCGCTGTTGGTTCCGGGGTCAATCGCGCGTCATGACTGCTCAAACGGGCGCCAGTACGATCAAGACGAAGGAGGATGAGTCCCATGAGTACTGGGGCAAAGCGGAGCGGACGTTTAAAAAGTAGGTTCAATTGGCCCCCCCCGACTGCAAGTTATCAGCTCCGACAAGGCGCCCAGCGGGTCTTATTGATCGCTTCTTTTGTGAGAATTCTCGTGCTTCTCGCTTTTGTCCGCTCTATTCGCGATGCTAGCTGTTCGTTGTTTTTTTTATGACTCCAGTCGTACATGCATCGATGCGCTGTGTGATATTGATATCATGATACCCTCTACGAAGCCTCCTCTTGCATTGGGCGCATCACTTGATAATTACTTGTTTTGCGATACGTTCTTGGGTATCACCTCCGACTAACATCTGGGTTAGTAAATCCGCCAGCGAATTTTTCGATCCCTGCCAGGAATTCGCAGATCGGAGTATCAAGTGCATGAGACGCAACGGCGGAGACAGGGACATGTGTGGAGACTATTTTCAGTACGTTGTGCGCCACCGGCCCAGCTTTTGCCAGTACTCTTGAACACTCGTTTTCTCTCCTGCTGGCCATATATCCTTGTTATGCTTTCATTGTTCTAGCCCTCCCCGGGGAGTCCAGATATTTACACCCCTTTTCACATATGCCCGCTCCCTCGACTGGCCACTGACTTTGTGCTATTAGGGCGTATCGTGACTGTAAAAAGGCATGGGTAAGTTCTCAATTCCCCCTTGTTTCCGGATCATTTCCAATGCGCCTTCGCGCTTCGGTGGCCCGGGTGGACTGTGACCCTAGATGTGTATCAAGCTTCTAATGCTGTGGTAGATGGCTCAAAAGGACGAGGCAAAGCGAAAATCATGAGCCTCTTGTACTCCACGCTTGTCGCGGTGCGGGCGGGTCACACGAAGCTATAGTTGCGGCCTCAAAATGGCAACCCATTGTACGATAGGAAAGATCTAACCCAAGGGAGAATAACGAAGAACTTTGGGAAAATTGGCGTTTGGGGGTACATTCACAAAGGGGCTGATGCTTTTCGTCTGATATACTCTTGACATATAAATGCCACGCAATTGAATTGCGTTAAGGCGTTATAGCCTGTGTTGATACTATTATTACTTGGTTCCGGCGAAATATACGCCAAATAAACAAGCCTAGGGTCGCTATATAGCATTCACTAGCATTTTACCGTCGATGCTTAGTTTTTCTGCGCTGACTATATTTAAGCGCTGTTTCCAAACCATCCTGTAGATTGCTGATAAACCCCAACGGTGCTCCTGGTGTGGGGTTACTTGTGAAATAAAAAGAACAAGCAATAAGCTCAGAGAGATCCATTTGCAATAGCCATGGAGCCGATCAACACATCGCAGAGAAATGCAAAAATGTCCTTTGCGTGGCTGATTTCTGTTGAAGTGCAAAGAAAGTTCCATCTCCCACTTCAATCCAAACAGCGCCTGATTCAAACTCCGCACCACCTTTTCACAGACCTTCATAGCTGAAGCTCGCATGGGTTTCATGCCCACATAGTGACAAGCACCCTTCAGTTTCGTTTTTTTCCGATATTACAATGTCTTCGGCCACGGTGATTGAGCGCCGAAACAAACAGATTCAAGATGCTGTAGAAGGAGGGAACTTGAAGCAGGCGCTCCAACTGTGCGAAAAGCGGTTGAAAAAGGGAGAAAATACGCCCTTTCTGAAGGTTGGCGCAATATCTATTAACCTCTTGTTGATTCTGGCTTCCATTCAAGCTGAATTGCTAAGTAAACACAATCCTCTATTAGGCGTGGAAAGCCAACATCCTCTTCCACCATGCAGACGAGGGGCATCGACGGCGAGGAATCACGGAGGCGCTCGAGTTATGCAATTCTACACCTGCGATCGCCGATATTGAAGCTCTGGATATGATCCAAAACACTTTGGTTAGCTTCGACGAGTATACCGAGACGTTGCGCGCTCTCTGGCAGAATGCAGCCAAAGCCAAACCGCAGGACGAGGATATCCAATTGAGGTGGTTTACACTCGCGTCAGAAGCAAATGACTGGAAAACCGCTCAAAAGGTGTGAACGTCGAAAACCTGGCGTTGGAAAAGCATATGAAGAGCGGAATGGCTGACTGCTCCCAGGCGGCGATGAATCTGCAGATAAATTTCCCACGAGCTAGGAAGTACTATTTTTGGGCTATTTTCATGTGCTATCTCATTTCCGCCGATCCTACTAGCTCCCCAGCGGATAAGAGTCTTTTTGGGACCCTGGCATATCGCATGATATCCAAGGCTGCAGACAGTGTGCCCGCCGATCCGGTATGTACTATCTGCTCTCTTTCACCCAAATGATACCGGAGGTGATACAATCCCTGCACCCTGCTATTGACAGATGGTTCTTAACCTGTGCAGAAAGAGTTACTGAGCCCAGGTAGAGCGATTCAAACCGCCGAAGAGCTGTTTCTGCTCATTAAGATATTCGATCAACAAGGCCGGTTCGGTGATATAATCAAGCTATTGAACAGTCAACATCTGGGCGTCAAGTCCCGCATCGCTCAGAATGATTGGTCCTTTGTGACGAAAAAGTTAGCAACTCTTGAAAAGGCTGGCCTGTGGGAGCAAGCTTTGTCTTATGCGGAGGAATTACTCACGCTGCCCAATGAGTTGGAAAAGGGAGAGAAAATTCCTGCAAGCTACGAAGAGAAGGATGATTGGCAGGTTTGGAGACTGCTACTGACGGCTGCAGAAAAACTGCAAACTGAAGAGTAGGTTCTTCATTCTGCAGTGCAATCTTTGACAATGAAACGCTTAATGATGGTCGAAGAATTTTTATGCAGGTAAAAACTTTCATCGCGTGTTATATTACAAGACAGCCAAAGTCACGAAACGCCAAACTGGCGCATCTAGATCTCGTCTGCCGCGAGGTCACAACGAGCAAGCGATTATCGACAGCCGATTTACTTGCCGAATGTATAACATATTTCAAAGACAACAAGGCTAAGCTACACTGCTTTCATGACCTGCGAAGGTGTCTAAATATCTTGGACGAACCTCTACTGCAGAAGTTCCATGCACATGTCCAGAATACTTTTACAGAAGGCTTTTGTGGCGTTGAAGCAAAGGTATGTACCCTCCCCCTGACAGTTGTTACGGGATCAATTCTCATGATAAATAGTCGAATGATCCATTTGGAAGCGTTCCTATCATCAATTTTATGAAACTTGAGTACTGTTTTCAGCTTGCTATAAACTCCGGCGAGGAGGCAATTTCACATGCAGAGGACTTTGCACGGCGCTGTCTTCAGCTGTTCCAGTCATCCAGGCAGGCTGATCTGGAGGAAGAATCTCCTTCCACAATCGAAACGCAACCAAGTGATGATTTTTGCCTGTTGGCAGCCATGAGCTTGATGCGTGTACACAAAGAAACCCGGCATCTTCAACCATATCCGTCCTCTGTGTTAGTACAGGCCGCTGGGATCTTGGAGCATCTTCTTCTCAAATCCCCGCACAATTATGAAGCTCTTCTTCTCCTAGTTCGTGTATATCTGCTTCTAGGTGCTGGCTCGTTGGCACTGAAGACGTTCGCCCAACTCTCCGTGAAACAAATTCAATACGAAACAGTTGCCCATAATCTGTTTACTCGTATTTCAACAGTACACCCGCAATCTGCGCCTCCATTTGCGGGTTTGGAGAGGAAGGACTTTGAGCCCCAAACAGCGCTCAGGCAAGCGTTGATATTCTACCGAAATGGAGTGAACTCTACAACACATGCCAGGTCCGCTGGTCTTGACAATGGTAGCTATGTGAACGTTGAAGGTAGTATTGATCTACAGAAGAACCTGAAGGATAGCGTCTGCCGAAAAATGTGGGCTTTGGAGTTACGAAAAATTCAACGTCTAGTAGGTGGACCTTCAGTGAAGCAGTATGATCAATTGGGTAAGTGATGATATGCTGATAGAACAAAAATGCGTTGTTCCTAACATTCATATTAGTGTTCAAGATGGACGCTGTCATCGATAAGCGCTCTTTTGATGGATTCATGAATTGTGAACTCCCCGATAGCCCGGCTTTTGAGGAACAGGTTCGACTCGGACCTCTGCCAAAGGTAACTTTAATTTATGATGGTTGTGCTCAGGTTCTAACGGTCGATCCAGGAACGTGCCGTAAAGGCTCTAGCAGTAACGGATGTGTTGCTCAGCTATCTATACACCGATCCGTCCTTGAGGGAAAACCTAATGGAGCAAATCAACAAATTTGCCGGTCTAGACCTTGAGCTCCCTATAACCGAGTTGACATCCATGGAAATCGAGAGTATCAAAATTCACCATCTCTTGATAAAGCTCATCTCTACACTGAACCGAATGCAAGCAGCGTCGGATGTGGGCTCGATCGATGCTATCTTTTCTCAAATCGAATCTTGGCTGAACGACAAGATTGCGACCCTAACTGTATCCAATCCTGCGGAAGTTGCCGGCACAATCAACCTTGCACCAAGCTCTTCCTCTACTGTATCCCCCGCGCCCTCGTGGATTTACCTACACTCCAACATTTCCTTACTTGAAACGCTGAAAGCTATTTGCCTTTTTGTTTCGGCTCAAGCAGCAGGAAAATCAAAATCGAAGCCGGCAAACAGCATTTCTAAAGAAAAGCTTGAATCTCTCAAAATCCTATCCAAGAAGCTTGCTGAAGTGGTAAAAGTAAACACGCGTCGCCTGAAGAGCCACATTGCAGAGTCAGGAATGCTTGGGCAGCTGGTTTCCCTTGCTACTACGGGACCGCGGGGAACTAGTGAGGGTATATCGGTAGAAATTGCGAAAATGATTGATACGTCGTCGTTGGAGTTGTTTTGCGGGTCGTTGATGGAAAGCTGGGATGAAGCACTAGATGGAGTGGTGTTGATAAGTTCGTCTATTTGAGAACTGCAGGCGTACCTCAACCTATTTGCTAATCGAATGCTGGCCAGTTGACTCTAAGAGGTATTGATATCGAGTTTACAGTAGCATCCATAGAAAGAACTATCGATTAGACCCTTGCACCTGAAAGCAGCCATTCATCATAAACAGGTCCGTAAACCACTGACGCCAGCAAAAAGAAATTGTTAGCTTTCAACGCAAGAACCATTCGCCCAATATCTCGTCACCTTTAATCCTGTCGTCCCTTGAGCAACCGTTTTGTGACCCTATCCTTCTCTATGATGTATACATGTGCGCCCCAGCCTGAAAGGGCATCTCGGTCTACGGCATTCAGAAGAGCCTGGGAAACAGTCTCAAATAGTTCCTCGGGGCCCTAGAAATATAAACGTCAGGATACAATCATTCAAGTGTACGCTCCCGAGCACCTACTAAATCAGGCTCCCACAACCCCTCACACATTCCAAACAACTGGTCGCTGGCGGTTCCGCTCACAATGAAGTCTTTTGCGAAGTCGATGCACCCAATGCTGTCAAAGCCGCAGATAAACGGTTTGCCTGTCGTATGGTTGATACCCGCCAACACGGGGCTGACAAACCACGGACCAAACCGTTTCTCGTAGAGGCTCGACGACACTAGGTTCGCCAGGGTCTGGGGCGAAATCTGTCTCTCCTCTCGGAGACGATAGAGATTGACCTTGTACCGCATGAGGTCCGAGACAGAGGAGACGTCCGTCGCAAGACCCGTGAGGCCGAGGTATGTGGAGGGCGCGTAGTTGAATATTTTCGGGAAATTGTTTGATACGGTGAGGGCTTGCATGCCGAGTCGGAGGTCGCAGGCTATGGCGACACAGTCCTTGCCCACCATGGCGACGCAGGCACCGCCATCTGAGTGAGTGTGAGTCTTAGTGGCAACGAGAAAGGCTAGGAGGGAAAGGGGGATAATGTACTTATATCGAAGGGGGATGCCTGGGATTGGGAAGTTAGCTGGCGTGGTGTTGGCAGGGGAAGGGTGCCGTCTCGACTTACCATGGCTGTCTGGAGATGAGTGTATACCGTCAATTGTGAAAAAGAGAGCACGGCTCCACGGAGGTAACTACAGCTATGTGTTACCCGCTGGGTGAAGGGAGACGTCAAGGACGGGCGATGGAAGGGCGGTTTGGTGATGTTTGGGGGAAGCTCTGACAAGCTCAACGTTTGCTTGTTGACTAAACAGCTGCTCGCAGCCAAGAGATGACGATGCGGTTGCGCTGCCTATTCTCTCCACTGCTCGCCCACCACTAGAGACACCGATCAGAGCAGCATTTGTCGCAACGTCCTCAGCAGGCTTCAGTCCCCCTGTCCTGCTCTGAAAGCCCTGCGCTGTTACTACTTTAGCCCGTTCTTCGCCCATATCGCCTCCCTTTCACCTCCCCCGCCCCCGACTGCGCCGCGCATGGCAATACTCTATTACCACCCATCTCGCGCTTTTTCTTAACTAGTATCGGCTCGTTTGTGGCAGAGATGTCGTCGCATGTAGTGGTGATCGATACCACAGCTCGCAGAGCCACTATCAAGGTCACTCCAGCCAAGCACCTGAGCGACGTTTTGGGAGAAGCTTGTGCAAAGCTTGGACTTGATGCCACCCAGTATGGGTTAAAGTGAGTCTGTTGCACTTATATCTCGGCTATTCTGAGTCCGATTTCTGACAGTCCTATCGTTTAAGGCATCAAAAGAAATCACTAGACCTCTCACTATCCATTAGATTATCCGGCCTGAGTTCCGGGGCTAAACTAGAACTTGTGCAGCTCTCGCGCTCGCCGTCTATCGTTTCTATAGCGTTGCAACTTCCCGAGTCCGAAGCTGCGGATGTTCCGGGCTGTCGATTGATGGATAAATTCCCCAGTAACACAACTCTGTGGTTGATATTACGCAAATTTGAATCCGGCGTTGCAGGAAATGGAGTCTCCCGAAACTTAACTGCGCGGGGAGCTCCGGCCATAACACCAGGTGCAACGGGGTCTGGGAGGCTGTTCTACGAAACTCCGGTCATTCAAATTATGAGCAAAGAGTTTGTTTCTTTCACAGACCTTCAGAAAACGTTGGCCCAGGTGGGATTAAACAGCGGCAACGCTCTTCTCAGACTGAACTTCCGGGTCACTGATCGACCGTTGGAAGAGGCCATGAATGAGATTGACGCTTACTTTGCATCTGTTGATGCGGACCAGCAGACGCCGTTGGAAAAATCCCCTCCCGCCATAGAGACCCCAGCCTCTTCCGGTCCAGTAGAAGGGGCGCCTGAAATAACACCTCAATCCACTCCATCGAATGCAGATGCTGAGTTAGAAGAAGCATCTGTTTCCAAGGCCGAAATGACACAACCTGCCCCAGAGCAATCATCGCACCCTCTTGTATCATCCCGACCTGTCACTATTTTCGCTCCCCCAACAGCCTCCACTCCCCAGTCTGCCCAAACACCATACAAGGAAGAAGATTATATACCTACTGTTGACCATGCAAAAGCACATCAACGTCGACTAAACACGGCTGGTCGTAACACGCGACTAGCAGGAGATGCAGAACTTGCCTTGCAAGAAGCTGCAATCAAAGAGCGACTGGCCAGGGTTACAGAAGTTGAAATCAAAGTACGGTTCCCGGACCAGAGCCAGGTCGTTTCCAAGTTTACCCGCGAGGATACGGCCCACTCGCTTCATGAATTTGTTCGGAATTGTTTGGACACTCCGCTTGCAAAGGAGGGGTTTATTTTATCTTATTTTCCCAATGTGTCCCACGACCCCATTGCACAAAAGGGTCAAGTAATAATTCCTGATGCTCCTAATACATATCTTATTGCCGATCTGAAGATGAATGGCCGCGTCTTAGTGAATTTCTTGTGGAAGGAAAACGCAGCGCTAGCAATGCGCAGCACTGGAGCGCCCCTGCTCCGTGCCGAACTTAGGGAAAGGGCAAGCCAAATCAAAGTCGAAGAGGTCGCCGCCGTCCCAGTGGAGGAAAGTGAAGGAAATAAACAGTCATGGCTGAACAAGTTGGGAGGGGGTGACAGGGGTGGTAAGAAAGGGGGTGGAGGAGGAGTGCCAAAATGGTTGAAGTTACCAGGCAAAAAATGAATAAACAATTACGTATGCGATGGGATTGTTGGTCTTATCGGAGTTTTTGCGTTGGATAATTCTGCGCTGGAGGTTTCTACCATGGATGCTTCGACATGAACACTGTATACGGAGCACACTTGCGGGACCATTGTTGTCAAAACTTATCTTGGGGAAAATCAACGGCATCTCCGTCACCGTTTGTAACTTTTGTTCTGTAGGACCTAGTTGAAGGTAGAAATCAGGTAGGCATCGCGACGAGCACGCTGAAGATGAAGCATTAAAAGGACTTGTCGGGGAATGTGTCATTATTGGTTTTGATTTCCGTGATTGTAGCAGCTTGTCGACAGATGGGCGCGATTTAGCCACATGAAAAAAAGATGCTCGAAACCCATGCATATCGTGAAACTAAATGCCCATAACGAATTCACCGAATTCCGCGCCAATTTCCCCAGCTAAGCAAGATTTTATTTTCTCGCCTAGGAAAAGGCCAAGGTGCCGTATTAGCAGCCCTGTGTTCCTCGACATATGCAAGGCTTTGAGCTTCAAACGACGAGCCACTTGAAACTACTCCTCCAGCCACCACGTTCGGCCTTAGTGACCACCAACTCGTCTCGATTCGGCAATGACCTTCTGCATCTCGTCGACCTTAGCCTTGGCGCGACCGAAGGTACCGAGCTATAGAGCAAAGCGAACGTCAGTAAACCCTTCTCTGAATCCTTCGGGCAATCCAGAATAAGCCAAGTGGTAGCATCACGGCAAACGTTCGCCTCTTTTAAAACGCGATATATGCCCAGCCACATGTCCAAGTTGTCCCATCACCCGAAACGCGACAACCAAACGGGGAAGCAGGGAGTCTTACTCTCTTCTTGGCCAACTTTCTCGCGCGCTTGTCCTGGGAGTTCCTCAACAATTCGATAACGCGGCGCTCATATGGTGCGAGGCCAGAGACTTCCTTGACAATCTCGCGAACGAACTCAGTGCGGCGGGAGAGGGCACCTTTTCTTCTGGAAATGCGTGGGCGCTTCTCGATGGCGTTGGTTTTCTAAAAAGATCACATAGCAATCCCATCATTAGCACATATTTCCTCCCTTCCTTTCTCCGTCCGGTTGACATTCGTCGTCCTCAAGCGAGGGCTTGGATGGAACGTACATGACCCTTGTTCAGGCCAAGGATGAGGCCGGAGCGTTCGTTCGTCATCTCGAATAGATTGTGATGGTGCCGCAAACGAGGAGGACAACGGTGTTGGTCGTTGGAGCTGGGCGGCGTTGGTCGTTCGTTGAAGGACTCAAGAATTCGTGCTGGTTGACTTGGATTTGGTGGTTTGCCCAGTGCGGCCTCCAACAAACTAGGGCTAAGGGCTTAGGGCTAACTAGCTAGTTAGTCACAAGTATTAGTAAGCGAATTAAGCTTGGTGAGGCTCGACTACAGAGCAACTTTGGTATCTACACTCCGCAAAACAGCATGGTTCGAATGGAAACAGAACTATCGCGAAAGCTGCAGAACATTCATATTTGGGGTATACTAGCATTCCTGTAACCATTACAGCGCTATCCATCAACATTAGACTCTTTGCGTTTCGAAAGTATTGGCCATAAATCTGCGAAATACTGATCCAGCACACCCGTGGCGGCAGGGAGAAAGCGTAGACGATCCGGTTCAGCAAGCATGTCTAAAGGCTCTGACATCTCCATAACCAAGCTCTCCTTGAGTATTCGTGTCGGGTCCGTCAAAGCGTCTAGATACCTTAGTGACACATGAGCCCGAACGAATCGGACTACGGTCTCTTTCACTGTGACGACGATGGGCTGTTTTAGTTAGCCAATTGCGCGAACATATTCAAACATGGACCCGGAGCTAGGGACATGGACAAACATGAACCGTATCAAAGCGTGGATCCTTCTCATTATTAAGCCTCTTAGCCAACAGCTGCGCTTGTTGTTGAGCCATTGCTAGTAGGATAGCGGCGAGCTCTGCAGGTTGCGACCTCTTCCTCCAGCGCTTCAACCTTATATTCTCCTGCACCTTGTTCGTGGTGCTTCTGGGCCGATAGGACTCATGGTCCACAGCCAGAACAGCGATTATAGGAAAGTAGGTTGGCGGGTATTCATTATTTAGGGCATCATAAAGAACATGAGGACCTTTTAACGAAGCACCCCGGTTTTCGAAACGAAGTTGCAATTCGAGTCTGGAAATACTTCGTCTCCCAAGCATATCCTTTGCGCTATCACCTCAAGTCAGTAACTAGTCATCTTGTAGAGATACGTAGGATATCAAATTCAAGCTTACCTTTGATGTGGGTAATTCCCGGGGTAATTTCTTAGCACTTCTATCCAACATATGCATAGATGCGCAATATCCAGCTCTCCTGGCTTTTGACCATCATTCTCTTTCAACCCTTCCTCAAACCCCTGTAGCAGCATGCTATCTGGCTCTTCCGGAGTTGTTGTTTCTTCAGGCTCATCCCGCAAGACATGGGCAGATGGGTTGTCAGCCACAGGCTTTCCAATGACATGGTCAAGGGGATGTGTCTGGTCCAAGCCGCTCACGCGCAGAATATCAAGATGCACACGCGACCATGCCTTTGGATGGCAGAATATCGGAGTGCGGGTTGTCCGGGCAAGTATAGCCTTTAAAGATTCAGCTTGGGGATCATGGTATGTCTGAGTAGATGGGGGCATCGCGTTCATGCCGAGAGAAGCAGTTAAGAAAATAACACGGTCCCTATGAGGTCGTGAAGTGACGCGAAAAATGCAATGTAAACTTTATATAATGAGTATTTATATAAGCAGCTATATCAGGCGCCTTGGGCAGTTTGGACCTGGTTAGTTAATCATTCGAGCCTAGAGCTTTTATAGGGTTGGCAAAGATAGCTGAGCACAACATTCTTTCACAGTCATTGTCCCTGCACCAAATGCATTTCTAGACTGTTCTCCAAGAATGAGTCGAGAGGGTATTCAAACATGATTACTACTCAGAAAAGGTAGAAATAATCAGATGCTTTATCAACATGTAAAATTGTCTTTCGGCTTGAAAGACAACCGCCATCTAAGCCCATATCTAATCACTCTTCTGTCTTTGTGATAGTGGGAGCCCATGCAGAAATAACGAGAACAAGATGTCTTGTTGTGCTAACCAGCAAGCAATCAATCAATCCATTCTTCAAAGGGCTCTCCAATTTCACCAGGACAAGCTCCCAGCTGCGGAGTTACTCCAACTGCTCCAGTCTTTTCAAATATGCCAACATCGCACACTCCAGCTCGTCTCCCTTTTTGAAGTGCAGCCATGTTGAATGACTAATACGCGTCAAGTGGATCACGGCGCCAATTGAGCCAATGGGAAGAGAATGGATGCAACCGAAACTTCCATACTTCATTCATTGCTCTTCAAGACTATCATCATTTCTAAAGCCAAAGAAAAAAAAAAAACAATGTCAGGGGATATCATCCAATATTTATATACCAAGTCGCTCCGGACGCAATCCGACCAAACGTAGTTACCAAAGAAAAAAGAACATCATGACCAGAACTCCCATTAAGTGATGTTATATTTTTCCCTTTGAGAGCAAAACACCCCGATCAACTTTTCCAAATCCTTCAACTTGTAGGGTTTTGTCATGTAACCAGCCATACCAACCCTCGTAACCCGCTCCAGAGCTTCGTCTGTCACGTCCGCACTGACTGCGAATACAGTCGGGGACGTGTGAGAAGCGGGCCTTAGCCCCTCTAGATTACCGTCTGTGCTGGCACCGGCTTTGGCAATGCGTTCGCGATGCTCCTCGACAAGCGCAAAGATCTTTTCCGTCGCTTCATAGCCGTCCATGTCAGGCATCCAGAGATCCATGAGGACAAGATCAATTAGTTTGTGTTGTTTGGTGGAAGGCGGAGTTTTGTCAGATTCAGGGTCGGAATCGGGCGGAGTTTGCGTTTGGGTTGGGTTCAGGGAATCGCCAGGGAGCGTATTAGTGCTTTCGGGTAGGCTCAGCGGCGCTGTGTCGAGAGTAATGTCTGAGTTACTCCTAGAACGGGTTGAAGAAGTTGGGGTTGTGGCCACGGGACTAGGGGAAGAATGACTTGATAAAACCTCACTCATGATACGTACTGCCTCTTTTCCATCAAACGCTTCATAAACGTCGTGGTAGCCGAGTTTTGCCAGCATGTTAACCAGTATTCGACGATTGATTTTGTTGTCCTCGGCAACAAGAAATGTCAAAGGATGCTTCTTTGCCAAGAATTTGTCAAAAGTTGGTGCCGTAAGCGGTATGGGTTTAGGATTGCCGGACAGACCGCGAGACGCTGTTATCTGACCGGGTTCAGCTCCGTTTCGCCGCATCGGTTCCCTTGCATCCGACAGAATAGGTGACGGTAGAGGTGACGAAGCTTCCCCATTCGTTATCGTCTTGGGTTGATCAACAGGGGTGCTATGAGTACCATCGGTCTTGGGAGTAGAACTGCTCGTGTAAGGCGTTGGCGGCCGGCTAACACTATCATTTGGGGACAAGGGGAGTCTAATCTGAAACTCCGACCCGCGATTTGGCTCCTTCGTCGACGAACGGACACATATCAGATCCCCAGAAAGCTTTCGTGACAACCCCTTCGCGACCATCAAGCCTAATCCAAGGCCTTCTTTACTTCGCGTGGTGGAACCATCTTCCCGCGCCCATGGCTTAAATAGTTTTGGCAGAAAGTCATCGGGTATCCCCGTGCCTGTATCCTGAACATTGATCAAAACGCACGAAGGTTTTCCGCCAACAGTAGCGGTAACGGTTATTTCTCCATCCTCGGTGAACTTAAGGGCATTCAAGAACACGCAAGAGACGAGTTTCGTAAGGTCCTTTTCATCGACACATAGGCTCTCTGGAACCGAAGGGTCTACCCACCAGTCTATGTATTTCGTAGAGATTTGGCCATTGCGACCCGATGTCCGTACTTCGATTCTTTCTCCATATTCGGTGGACTCAGCACTAGCTGAGTCCGGACGACCGCCTACTTGAAGCGACTCATTGATCACGAAACGAAGTAGTGCTCGAATCTTGGTGTCATGCAAGACCATCGGAGGGAACACCGTGCGAGGAGGGCGAGATGACGAGGTTTCGCGACCACCCAATGATTGATGGGGTACATCAAAGACGGAGTCTCCCACTTCCCCGTGTGAAGTAGAGCGTACGATTTTATCACCCTCCTCAATAGCAGCTTTCAATTCTGCAGTGCGGGGGGAGATTCCCCTGCGAACCGATGTGGTGCATCGGTGCTTCGGGGATGACGAGGATTGCCAGTCCATCGGGGTGCTTCTTCTGCGTTTGTAGGGATTGACCATGATGTTGCTGCCGTCGATAAATATATTCGGACGGTTGTCAAGAGTTTCATTGCTAGAGCGGAAAGAGGCGCTTTGCATTTCTTCATCCGCAGGATTTTGGGGAGTATCTGGGACTTGCATATTCAGGTTATATGCATGAACAATGTTATCAGCTGCCTCGATGGCTCGTCTAGCGCTATCTATAAACTCATCAACATCTCAGTCGACTTGGAGTGATCCCTGTCATTTTAGCTTACCTTGAACTGCTTCGATATTGTCCCGAAATTCGGTAAACACCGAAAGCAGATGAGACTCTAGCGCATTTTCAATTCTCTCTTGAACAGTCGCGTGCATGATATCCAGCATACCAACAACGCCTTGCATGGGAGTTCGCAGTTCATGCGATAAGCTCCTAGCATACGGCTTAAAGGCTGGGGCGACCATAAAGGCATTCTGATTCATAGTCGTTTTCGACGGCTTTCCCTGCAGCCTTTTATCAAGTTCCTCCCACCTTCGGACTTGGGACGATTTTTTGTTATTGTCGCCAAAAGTGATACGCTGAAGGATCAAATCTTCTAGAGAACGTAGGATCATTTCCAGGTAGGGCCACGATATGTCCAGACTTTCCAGCCCCTCTGTTGTCCATAACAGCCCAACATGAGCGGAACATTTGCCAGGCGAGGATATGGGGACCGCCAGATATGCTTCGACAGGAAAGGGCAGTCGATCGGCATCTTTGCCTAGGATAGAAGCTAACCCTTCCGGCACCAGGCAGACCTTGTCATGATTCATTGCGGTGCATGGAAACTCCCACGCCAGATATTTGTAATCTCTATGGGTGGCCTGAAGCCCTTTGCCGTTGTTGTAATGGACGACCACACCAAGCAAGGACGAGCTACGCTCGTCCAGAGACAGCATCTCAACGTCGGTGTCTTCTTCACTAGTGTGATTATCGATTGCCACAAATGCACACTGAGCATGGCATATGGCGGTTAGCCCTTCCATCAGACGGGTCCAGAACGTTTCGCTGTCGGCATCCCGCAGCGTAGCCTTTAATGCAACAAGTTGCTCGATGGCATTGCTCTGACCGGTGTCAAAAGCCGGTGCGAGGCAGTGGACCGGTTCGAGTTGGCCATCCTGGAAGATACCTTCCGGCGGCGAGCTGGGGAGGGCAGGGAGAGCGTCGAAAAGAAGCTGGTCATGGCTCGACTCGGGGATATCATTTGATGCTGTGCCGTCCAGGTCATCCATCGTCGTCCTTCAACCGGATGACGGCACGAGAGATTTAATGGCAGCAAAACTGCAGAGGAGACTGTTATTGATAAAGAAGGTCTACAATCGAGGCGTGGTCCCAAATCAGGTGGTAGAATTCAGAGCAATCTGGCACCACGACGAGGATTCGGTCAGCATTGAAACGAAACATGGCGCGGAGATGCGAGTCAAATATGAGCGACTGATTTTGACAAGACGCACTGATAACGAAGTCTGATAACATACATTTTTGGAAGATCATCGGGTGGCCGATTCTGGGAGAAATCAGCGAGGAAGAATCGTGGATATGGAACACGGAGGCAACCAGCGTAACCACCACCAAGAGCCAGCGGATGGGTCGTCCAAAGGGAAGAAAGAGAGAAAGCCACCAGACCAGCGATGGACAGCAGACAAGACAAGCACCGCAGCTGAAGAAATGAGAACGATGGGATTGAGCCTGGCTGTGGGCGACAGAGAGGGGGAGAGATGGGACGAGTAGCCAAGGGGGAACTGCTCATTCGCGAGGGAACCTCACCCTTGCAGTCTGGATTCGGCGGATCACGGACTAGACCAGTCCATCCCACAAACCACACTCTGAATCATCCACCACCAACCGCTGCGGTTGCTGCTACTGCTGCTGCGACTGCAACTGCTGCTCGCTGTGGCCAGATGCTCGTTGCCTTTGTGGTCACGGGCTTGCAGCGGGTTTGGTGAATCGCTGGAAAAAGACCTTTTAAGGCAAGTCGGCGCTTCTCCTCCTTCGGCTGACCACGACCCCCTTGCTCAGAGCCCAGGCTGTGCCTTGTACTCCGTACCTGTGATGAACTATTGCTGACTGTCTGCCCAGACCGCAGCGCTAGACTCGGAGATACGAAATTTATTCTTTGCGGCGCTGCAACAAAGACACGACCGTGCTCGCCACGGCGTCAACTCAACACCCCTGGAGATCTGGGATGACTCTTCCGTTTCGAAGTGGGCTTTTGTGGAGCAGCCCACGGAAAAATACTTGGGGGCTACGAGACAGAGGACGGTTTGCGAAAATTATTATTGGGCATCGTTTTGTTGGAAAGCAGAAAAAGAAAAACGAGAGTCGACGGGATATGATGAGCGGCGCGCCTGGCCCTCGCCCACACGGACCCAAGGGCCACAAGAAAAGGACACAAAAACAGAAGAAAGGAAAAAGCTGGAAGCGCGGGAAGTCAAACGAATGGATCACAAATCTAGA